TATTTTTAATTAAAATAAATTAATCAATAATTTTTTAAATCCTTTTTTAATTTTTCTATTTGAAAAATCACTAATAAAATATTTTTCTTTTTTAATTAAAATAAATTTCATCAATAATTTTTTTAATGCAAGTACTTTTTTCTGTAAATACAAGTACTTTTTGGTATATTTGTTTCATTTTATAGATATAAGTATTTTTTTTGTTCAAAAAATCTTCAAAAACTTAATCGTTCAAAATATGAAAGTCCATTGGGTTTTTTTTCCATTTTTTTCATTGTTTTATCACATTAACAAGTTTTGTAGATCATAAGAATGTATCTAATAGGTTTTAGAAAATCCAAAAAGTTATTTAACATGTTTTAGAATGTTTAAGAACTTATTTGTTTCAAAAAATTGTCCAAAGACTTAATATTTGAGAAGTGGTATATTTGAAAAATAGAGAAGTTATCTTAGCCTTTCATCTACCAAGATTTGTAGCTTTAACTGTAAAGTACTAGATAATTTATCTTATAGTATGTAAAAGATTGAGGGTTAGTTTCATAACTTTTACAAATAGACGGCAAAAATAGCCACAATAATCAATAAATAGCCACAAACTTTCTGCAAATTTACGGATTGAAAAGTTTCTGATAAAGTGCAAATTTAACATATCATGATGGGAAAAATAATACATTTATCTTTTGAATTATTAATTTTTTTTTAATAAAAATCAATCAACTTCAAAGTCGTTAAAAATCCATAAACACACTTTCAAAATCAGACGTAAAAAGGTTGTTAACGTCACCAAAAAACAAAAATCAATTTTTAGAGGTGGTATGATTGTACCTAACAATTTTTGTAATACATTCTAAACTTCATAAAAGGAAATTTTACTTATTATATATTTAAATCAAATATAATATGTAATTTTTTTTTTTGTAAATATGAAATAAAATAGTTATACGATTATTCATTAAAAATATATGAAAATGAATTTTTTAAAACCAAAAGTTTTGGAATTTTTTTATAAACAAGAAACCCGTTCCAACTTTTGTTATTTCATCTAAGAGGCCGTTTACTAAACACTTACTTAGTAAGTGTTTACCTGATAAATTTCTTCGTCGGATGAACAAGAGAAGGGCCAAGAATCTTACCGGGTAAGAGTGATGAGAAGAATGGGGAGTCTTACCCGGTAAGTGAGAATGACGACTCTTACCCAGGTAAACGCTTACCCAGTAAATTGTTGAATTCAATATGTTTTGATATACTAAAATCTTACGCATAATCATAATGTTGACTCCTATCGGTAAACGCTTACCGGGTAAGCAATTGGGTAACGTATGTCGATACCAATATTCGAGATTATAATTCGTATCGAATCACAAAGTAGCGAATTCTATTTTAAATTTATATGAAGGGTATTTTATTGAAGTTTATCATGATTCTCATGGTATCCATGTGTTTGGAGGACCAAAAAGGAGATGGGGCATGTGCAAGTGGTGATGTTAAATACATGTAGGTAAGGAATCAAGAAAAGTTAGCCAAATTTGAGTAAAGTATAAAGCCATCAATATCAGCAACATGATTGAAAATGATGTATTGCTTACAAGACAAACAAAACCCATCTTTTCAAGACACTTCACCAACTTGCTCAAATGTCATTTTTGTTTTTGTTTTGTTTTCTACGTCGATTTGAATAACGATCTAGCGATGGTTTTGGCTGAACGACATGACCCGTAAAAAGAATAACGACAACATGGTATGCACGTAAAGATCTAGTGACGGTTTTGTTTGATCAACATGGCCCATAAAAAGAATAATGAAAAGATGAAACTGGAATTCACAGAGAGCAAAAGACTAAGATGGCCGTGAAGTGAGTTCGAGTCACTATATCGTTGTGTTGAAAAGTATTCAACTAGTAGGTAGTTGAATCTCTATCTAAAAGAGCTTTTACAAGGGTGTGTCTGGCACACAGATGGGTCTAGACATGACAAGATTGGGTGGGCGAGAGTGAGGTAGAGCAGGTGAAAGGATTGTTCTAAGGTTTTGGGGTTTCAATTTGAGATCAGTAATTTACTAATTTTGTCTTGTATTCATGATTTTTGTTCACCTATTTCAGCAAAACAAAAGAACTTTTGTCTCACAACAAGTTTCTGTCATGTCTCACATTCCTACACACACACACACACACATATATATATATATACACACACACACACAAGTTTGATCGCCCGTTTGCTGATGTGGGACTCCAACAGGCTTGAAGTCCCCTCGAACGGAGGTAAAAGAGTGGGTTGAGTCCCTAGATCACCTCCGCTCTGATACCATGTTAATATAAGTGAAACCTCTTTGGATCTCTCTATAAAAGAGCTCCTAGATAGAAGAAGGTTCAGGCATATATACAGGTTTAATATTTCGTGTCTGGCTGATTCAGAACTCCAACAGAACTTTTGACTCAAAACAAACTATAACAGAATCCTTACCGGTTTTGGATTAGATGAAGGATTATGCAAGATCTCAATCGTCAAACTATACTCTTCCTCGGGACATTTTGCATTATGTTTCTTCATCGCTAGAATCCAGTTCAGTACTCAACTCATCTGTGCAGTTTGTATCACTTAGAGACAAATCATCGTGTTCATAGTCATCGTCATTTGCTGATAATTCTTCATTAGAGGAACTATCAAAGTTATCTTGTTTTCTTTTTCCTGTGCTTTCACTTACACCACCGACAACAGTTTTCGGGTTATGATCAGCAGGATCACCATAAAGTGCGATGTGCCTACGATACAGTTCTAGTTCCTTCTCAGCAATTGCAATGAAGTGTCTTGCAGACTCGAGCGATTGCTCATACTTTGACTTTTCTAAGGCCTGCATGTATCAGAAGACAAATGAGGAGTTAGTGTGGATGGATCCAAAACATGGTTCTAAATGTGGTGAGGCGTGGCATGGTGTCGAGGTCAAGCCTCAAGAGCCACGGTGAGACCACAATGTTTTTTAAGGCTGGACTTATGGCAGCAATGTGTATATCATATATATAATTGTATATTTACACACATGTTTTCTACTATTATTCAATGAGTCAATGGTATTAGACAATTAAATTAGGTTATACTCTAATAATTAAAAAGTAAGATACTAAAATGGTAAGAAAAATTAACTATCATGCTACAAATACTGTACATTGGGCCATGGCATGTCATAGGCTTAACATGGTGTGAGACATGAGCCTTGAGCCATGGTGCATCACGACGGCTGCCGCGCAAGCTTTATAGAACACTGCAAACAGTTTTTTGGGTCTCACTCAATGTCATTTCCCGGTTTACTAGTCCCATGGGGCAAAATGCTAATCCGAACAAAAACCATTTTTTTTCCAGGGAGTGTTATTAAATCCCATAGAGGATATTTGGTCTGCCTCTAATTTCCAAAGAGTCCCCTTCGTGGATAAGCTGGCTGCTAGGATGTCCAATTGGACCAACTGTTTCCTCAACATCTTGTGTATAACTCAGCGTTTTCAGTCACTCTTAGCGAGCCAAGGTGCCAACCATTTTACTCAATTTATTTACTTTGGATGGATTCTAAGGGAAGGCCCGGTGAATGAAAATCTGAAAATAGTCATTTTGAAGTCAATATTGAATTCCTAAAGAAGAGGGGTACAGAAGTTTGGGGGACTGCAAATGAGCACAAATCTTGGTTTTATGCTGACTGATGAAAAATAAAGATCAACAGAGCAAAATAATGATGGTAATACACAGTTACAGATATTTGAAATAGATAAAGGGTACTCACCTTTTTCTTGGACAAAGTGTCAATCGGACTCATAACCTCGGGCTGCACATAATCCTTTCCACGATAAAAGACTATGGTGTCATCTCCAATTACCTGAATCGGGATTCCACCACTTAATCTTGCAATTTCATTAGCATACTCGTGTACTTGATCAGGTTTACAAGGTTTGCAGATGACCTTTACAGTCTCATGTTTTTTCCAATGCATATGCATATTAAGAACAACACCACCAAATACACCTCTTCTTCCAACTGGTACGTAATTCGACCCTTTCTGGGCCATCTTTTTCATGTAGAATCGCTCTTCACCTGTTATCTCAACTGGTTTGACCATAGGACCCTGGAGTTTTGGAACTTCATAGCTCTTGAGTCTTTCAATAAGTAAAGCTTCCTTAATTTTTGTCTGCAATAGCAAAGGTAGTTTTAGACAAGTATTTTAGTATATGTTTAAGTTTCACAGTCAACCAGTACTACAATAGAATCACGGCTGCAATTAACAACAAAAATAAAGGGCATACAATAATCCAAGAATCCCAGAACAAATATGTTGCTTCTGTTCATAGATGATAAATGTTTTCAATATTTAGTCGGCAAAATCTATTAGTATTAGTTTATTACCAAGAAAGCCCATATATATGAAAAGTATAAAGTGCTCTCTTCGCCTGAATATGGTAAATTCAATCATAATGCAGTCTTAATCCTCAAATAAGAGGATAGATGCCCATCATGCCCAACTTGCTAAAAAGAATGATCATAGTCCTTCACGCAGTCTAGCACTCGGCTTGAACATGAAGGGAGAAAAAGGATGGAGACCGAGTTGTCATCCCCACAACATCGAAACGTAAAAAAACGTAATTAAAATCTATAACTTAGCATCTCCAATGGAGGTTCTTATAAGAACCCACTTTTTGTACTTTTTCTTGCCGCATCATTTTCAGCTCACCAAATTAAAAACTTGTATAAAAGTTCACAATGGTAGTTCTTATAAGAACTCCTTTTGTGGGTCCCATGTATTTTTTTGCATCAATAATTATATAAAAAACTAATAAAATACCATAACAAGTCAAAAAAATAAAAAACTATTAAAATGTCATTTCACACATGGTCTAAGGTAAGAACCAAGGTTCTTGTACAAGAACTCCAAGGATGTTAGTTTCTTATAAGAACTCTCTCCGATGATGGTTCTTGTAAGAACCTTCACTTTTTGTTTATTAGAACCTCCCATTGGAGATGCTCTTACTATGCCCATGGGAATTTTGACAGATTATCACAGCAAAACTAGATCAGGCTAGCCAAAAGAACTAACTCACATAAGAGGTATCTAGTCCATGTCATACCGTTCATTTCTTGCTCTTGCATGACACAAGATCTCCACCAAGCAAAGAAATGGGAACAGTGGTGGATCTCCGAGGGGTTGGCATCCTACCAACTCAGCATCAGAAAAATTGTTACCCTATTGTAACCCTCCTCTATGAACACTCAATGCTCTATGGTGTCCTATTTGTCCATAGGATATCTTTCTCTGGAGCTTCCTTGAGATAAGGTGAAATCAAAGACAAATCATCCCAATCATCAGTGAAGAAAGTTAAATAAGCTTGACCAACTATGCAATGTTTAGACATGTACATGTCATGTGACTACACTTCCAAACCATCTCATGTTTGACTATTGGCGGCAACGATAGAAGGTGTTGAAGACTAGATTTAGATGGGTAGCAATCCGATAACTGATGCCTAACGTCACAGGTTGCCAAATTTGACTGAGGTTGGGCTGCTCAAGCGCTCTGGAGTTGCTGCGAGGCTGCGAGCATTCACCAAGAGGGGCTACATAGATATCAATAATTCCCTAGAGACTCAGTGTGTTCTATGGAACATTCTATGTTACTCTCTATCTTGTAGTATTTGTCTAGAATCCTCTCGATGCAGACTGAATATTTTGCAGTAAACCTACATGGTTCCTAATATCTAAAATTCTGCATAGAGGTTCCCTCATATGTACATCCAACAAAGCATTTCACGAAACCATTTCTAGCATTCCAAGTCTCTCTCTACAAATTTCCTTATTCTTCAATGCAAGCAGGCAAATCGTCGTTAACTGAGCACTCACACAGCAAGGCAAGTGCCAAAGTGGCATGGTTGGTTAAGGCAAAGCAACAACCTGTGACAAAGCTTAAGCTCCGATAACAATTATATTTATTGTTTAGGGTTTCAAAAAGTGTGTTACTGCCGATAGGAAATCTGTAAAGATGAAATACATAGCCATCAAGCCTAAATATGACAAATATAATGGATACACTAACCTAACAATTTTCAATTAGCTCTTCCTCACTCTTAAATAATACGATTTCATCTATGTTTCACAAGTTGAGGTTTCCTCTGCCTATATCCCCCTGTATTCTGTAACAAAGTTTAAATTCTTATATTTCTATGCAAAAAAAAAAAAAAGACAATGGACAAAGCATATTGACCACAGAACTAAACTAGCTCAAATTAGCTTCCTCACTATCACTCAGAAGTCAGAACTTGATGTTCTTCCAAATTAAGAAAAAATGGTTCTTACATCTTCCTACCTCCATTTTATGTAAAAGAATAAAATTAATATCCGTGCTTACCCTTTTCTGAAACTCTAAAACCTATATATTACTTTTGAAACACAATAATGGTCGACTAATCAAAGTTTATACAAACAGTTTGCATAAACAAGGATCAAGGGGATACACAAAGTTCCATGAATAGGTCTAGAGAAAGAATCAAATATCTTAGAATTAAGTACACTTTTCACATTCACTCATATGAAAACTCATAGTAATTAGTATGGTGTATTACAAGCAAGTTAGGTGCATAGATGTTGTTACCTAGGCACTTTTCGAGTTTTTAGCTCTCTAGCAAACTACATACTTTTATAGTTCTTTGATAAATTGTTGGAAGATTGTGATGGTGAATGTCTATGTCTCCTATCATGTTTTATCACTCTAAATCTTAAAACTGGTGGTATTACCACAAAGATGCTCCCTCCCTTCCCAAAAAAAGTACGAGGTCATGTTGACTTATAAGGTGAAATGAACTAGGTCAAATACATTGAGTTGGATTTTCTGTAGAATGCAATACCAAAACTTTTGTATTTTGTAAGAAGTTCGGTCCATATCCGGTGTGGGCATTAGAGCATTGAGAGGACCTTTCCCTAGTACGAGAGGACCGGGAATCTGATTTGAGCTATGGACGAATATGCACGCATACGGTTCACAGGATTCAGCCAGTTGTATTGATAGTGGAATATCATTGAGAAATAGGAATCACATATCTTTCCGGCTAAGGAATGGGAAATCCTTCTCCTGTTCCATGTGCCTTGGATGATCCACATCTCAGGGTCAGGGGCCGATGAGCTTTCGTACAAACACTGTAATTCTTCTAGACACTTCCTCCTCCTCACCCCCATCTTCCACCGTCACTCTCTTTTTAAAATATAAAAGCATCCTAATATCATACTACGTAAATTCATCTACATTTCACATGCTTTTTACCTCTTAACTATACACAAAAGATTTGGAGACAATATTGAATGTATACCTATGGAACTATGCAAATATTTGTATTATGATATTGACCTTTTCAAGCTTATATTTGATTCGTTCCTCGACAGTGGCAAACTTGCCTTTCCTTTTAGACCCTTTGATGGTGAGACGACGAGGGTCCCTTTTGTTGGCTGATCTTCTCTTCTGCTTCTCTTTCTTCCTCTGCAACTTCAGCCTTTTCTTTGTTAGCCACTTGTATTTCTTTGGCGGATCGATTTCAAATATCTCGAATTTGGGTTTGCCTTGTGATATAACGCAACGCACTGATGATGAAGACGACGATGACCCATAGCGCCTACAAATGGTCAAGTTTCTGAATGCCCACCAACTGTTTGATGAATTGAATGAAGCTAGAGTCCGTTCTTGGTATAGAATTGGCCTAATATGAGTTCAATAAACAATGAATTGACATATGGGTGTTAATTCAATGTACAAGTATAGATTACCAGAAAAGCAATTGAGAAAGATTGATGGATACCTGGGACACGGAGAACAAGAGTTGAAAGTGGGTTTGAAAAATGAAGCAAAGTATCGTCTTCTGAAGCCACGAAATGAACGACTTACCATATGATTCATTCTGTGCGCGTGGAGCAAAGCATATCGGCATTCGGCAATCAGATCATCCCAAATTTCATAGAATTGTTCGGGCTTCAGATTTGGGCCTAAAATTTCACGGTTAATCCGACCCGGATTCAATAATCGTATCGTAAGAGCCTACTAAATGCCTAATAGGCCTAGGTTTAGGTCTGGTTCCGGGGCCCATTTGGAATTAATCGGATTCGGACCCGTTCAGTTTAGCAGACCCGAGTTTTTAAGGGGGCCATTTTGAAATTAATCGCTTCTATACCCATTTAATCTTTTTATAATTTCGTATCTATACTATCTTATAAAGCATTTGGTTAAAATTCTTAAAAACTTTTAAATTCGTTCATCCCTATCCAATTTCATCTCATATCTGAATTCGTGTAACTAATTGTAGATAAACACAATCAAATACAGTATAAACATCTCATTTTAAATATAAAAAATCTAAAATATAATTAGTATAATCATTAAATTCTAACAGAATACTTAATTATTATCTTTATAAAATTTATAATATTAAACCAAAAATAAATTATTTCATTATTAAACTTAAATTAAATTATATATAAAAAATATATTTTATATTATAAATTATTTAACAAAAACTCTTAAAAACACTTTTTATGCGTAAAGTACTGTTTATTAATGCATATTACTTAAAATTCAATTTTACAAGTAATTTTGCATAAATACAACCTATTAAAGCTTCATTTTTAAATTCGTGTAACTAACTGTATATAAACATAATCAAATACAGGATAAACATTCATTTAAAATATAAAAAAATCTAAAATATAATTAAGATAGTCATTGAGTTCTAGTATTATCTCTATAAAAAAATTATATTATTAAACCAAATATAAATTACTTTGTTATAAATCTAAATTAAATTATCTATCTATACTATATTATAAAACATTTGACAAAAACTCTTAAAAACTATTTTTTATGCATGAAGTATTGTTTATTGATGCATATTACTTAAAATTTAATTTTACAAGTAATTTTGCATAAATAGAACCTATTAAAGCTTCATTTTTAAATTCGTGTAACTAACTGCAAATAAACATAATCAAATACAGGATAAACATTCATTTTAAATATAAAAAATTTAAAATATAATTAAGATAATCATTGAGTTCTAACATTATMTYTATAAAAAAWATATATTATTAAACCAAATATAAATTACTTTGTTATAAATCTAAATTAAATTATCTATACTATATTATAAATCATTTGACAAAAACTCTTAAAAACCACTTTTATGCGTAAAGTACTGTTTATTAATGCATATTACTTAAAACTCAAGATTACAAGTAGATTATACGTAAATACAACTTATTAAAGCTACATATTTGAATTCGTGTAACTAAATGCAGATAAACATAATCAAATACAG